ACAACAAGTAGATATAGGAAAATAAGATATGTGTTACTATATAAGCTATGGGACAGATTTATGAAGCAGGACAGATTATTGTGACGCAGCAGTTGCAGTGAGATTTAGAAACATTGTACTGTAATTTATTTAGAAGCGTGAAGCCAGTTCACTTGAGTAAAGAACAGCTCAAAAACCAACCGATCTGATGAGGGAAACAGTGATGGCCTACTAGCTAAATCAAGATGTGACCCTGTGAACGACTTCCCTAAACCGGCAGTCCAGCAGTTCATCTAAACAAAAGGCACCTAGACTAAAACAGATGTACTTGTGTTTGCTATACCATAAAACAATAAAAGAAGGTACGAGCTCTTCTTGTGACTCCAGGATCTGAGTGTGAATGCCAGAACACTCTGGAAGACACACAGTCTTTGCAAACTACTAAGGATCACACATCCTATCACTACACAATCAATTATACACCTCTAAGCATATATGGTTTTATTTTTCTAAGCATAAATGACAATCAACAATATAAACCTGTTGATTTATATTGATCCCTTAAAGTATTGATCCCTTCACGTTAGTGTGGGTCTTATACCAATATGTCTGTATCATTTGTATCGATCCGTCCAGCCCCAGCCTCAGCAGCGATGAGTTCAGTTCAGTATCTGAGAGAGTTCATCAAGGAGAGACTAACTGCTGTTTGTGAAGAAATCTTCTCAGAGGTTCAAAAAACCATCGTCCAGTATGAGGAGGAGATCAACCGTCAGCACAGACTGCTGGATATCAGCCGGAAACCCGACAGAAACTCACACATCATAGGTATGGATGTGTTTTTAACTCTGTGCTGTTCAAGCTCAGATTCTTCAGTGTTTGGTTGATTGGTGATAAATCTGAAAGTTTATCAGCATCTCCAGGATTTCTCTAAGCTGATGTTAGCTGAGAGCAGGAAGCTGTTACTTTGGTGATGAATTCAGAGGAGCAAACGGTGATAGTTGAGGAAGAGCACACACAGTCTTAATGAGACAGTGTGCAAACTATTTATCAGTGCTGTGGTTCAGTGTCCAGTGATGGACTATGTTGCACTGGTGCAGGTTCATGGTCACTGATAGGTTAGATCCTGGTAACAGCAGAGACTTTATAAGAGAGAGGTAAACGTTTTAATGACACATGTTAGTGATGTTGATAGACTCAGTCAGTCTTATCATGCTGTGCAGCCTCCATTACGATAACATATGTGTGTGAAATGGGCCGGCGAGCTACTCAATTGGTGCATCTCTAGTTTGCAAATTTGAGCATTTGCATAATAACAGTGAACTCCACCAATCTCGGACATTGCCTTTTTCAGTTTAGGATTGTGGGTGGAGTAGTTCTTTGAAGAAAAGTCTCTTTTGTTATAACAAGCATGATATCATACAGACATTTGGTTTCTACAGGAGCTCATACCATCGTTTCACAGTGTCATAATCAAAATCCCAGAATGGCATTTTTACTTTGTGAGCTTCAGTGTTGAGCTCTGTTGTGACAGTGGTTATTAACTTTCCCTGTTGAGACAGTATTTCTGCTTGAGGCTCTGTGTTTGCTCCCATAAAAAGAACTGTTTGATGCACCTTCTTTCTGTCTTCTTCATCACAAAATGGACCAACTAAAGAACGCCTGCTCTGATCAGGACATTATCACATGACCTGGTGATGAAGATCTACAGGGAACATACAAGAATAACACCAAAATGCAACATTTTCATTACAAATATAACAAGAGAATCTTGTCACTCTGTTTTTCCTCAAAACCTCACAAAACAACATGACTATGAGGAAGAGGGGAGTCTGGGTGAGCAGCAGGTCTGTAATCAGGAGACGAACTCCAGTCTGGACCAGGAGGACCCAGAGCCTCCACAGATTAAAGAGGAACAGGAGGAGCTCTGCAGCAGTCAGGAGGGAGAGCAGCTTGGACTGAAGCAGGAGGCTGAAGACATTATTGTCTGGATTGATGAAGAGCAGCTCAGGCTGCTGGAGATGGTCTGGAAACCTGAGATGCAGTCACACAGAATAGGTATGTAAAACTGTGATGGTCATAATAAAACTGAATATGACTCATGGAGAAGGCCTGCAGAATTAGAGAATGGGGGCAAAGAGAGCATTGCCTAACACCAAATTTTATAGCGCTGTTTATCTCTAGCAGAGTGAGCTTTAAAGCTTTGTACCTTCTGGTGACATCACTAGTCCAGAGAGACCTGCCCCATCAAATTCCTCAGAGCACTTCTGTCTGTGTCTGCTAGTGTCAGTGTGCAGTTCACTTCCAATACATATTTGTAGAATAAAAGATAAAACATAAATGTGTGATACAAATCATGAGGTAATTATGTAATATAAAGAAATCAGGGTATATGAGTCTTAAAGATAAACAATACATTTTAAGATTATACAGAGTGTTAAAGCAATGGCTTCAACCTACAGCCTTTAAAGTGGAGATTAAAAAGCTGTCTGAATGCAAATAAGTCTAGATGTTTCCACATAGTTTTCTTTTTAAGTATCAGAAAGCTAAGATGGGGTGATTAAAACATTAGCTTACAATAATGGTTGCTAGCTTATACTTTTTTGAAATAACATCATGTGACCCTTTAACCCTTTCATACATGAATCTGGATTTTTTTCCCCGTATTTTTATTCATCTTTAAACATGGAAAAAAAAAGATTTTTGAACTTCATTTTACATGTACTTTTCACAGAGTTTTTTACATGTCCACTTAGGTGGACAATATAGGTTTTGACAAATTAATGAATAATATACACTGTGTAAAAACGATAACATAACAAAATACTTTTTCATATATTTCAATTATATTTTATAATAATATAAGAATATATGTAACAAATATAACTGGTCAGCCAGTGGGTGGCAGGGCATGGAGTGACACATCAGTGTAGTGGTTCATGTGCAAGTACACCATCAACACTGACAGAAATACAAGAAAAAACCTTTGAATAGCTGTCCAATGTAGTGACCACTATACAAACAGCTGTCGTGTATTTTAGGAAAGTCAATAAAAAGACAGCTGCAGTAGCCATCTCCTCAAGAAATAAATAAATGGATCTCTCAGTTTAGCTACATTTCTAATTTCTATTCAATTCAAATTTGTGTTATTCATACAGAGCACAATCCTAACAACAGTTGCTTCAATGCACTCCTACAGTAAGAAGGGAAAACTCCCTTTTAACAGGAAGAAACAGGTTCACAGCAGGGCAGATATCTGCCCTGACCGGTGGGGGTGAGGGCAGGAGGAAAGGACAAAGAGATGCTGTTAAAGAGAGCCAGAGATTAATAATTTGTAATGATTCAATGCAGAGAGGTCTATTAACACATAATGAGTGAGAAAGGTGACTGAAGAAGAAATACTGAGTGTATCATGGGAATCCCACAGCAGTCTACACCTATTGCAGCATAACTATGGGAGGATTCAGGGTTACCTGGGGCCCGTTCTTCGTACCTCGCTAAGTAAGTTAGCTGGATGAGATTGTTGACGATTTCGCGTGATCCTGGATCGTTCGGTTCCCCGAAGCTCATCCGGGACTTGCTGTCATAGCAACAGAGCCGTAAGCGTAAACCTGTTCGGGAGCAGGTTTACTTTATGTAAACAGGATTAGATCGCGGCCACGCAGGTATGTCCGCTTCATTTATACGAAAGCAACAGCGATATTCCACCACTGTTTTACCATAAATAAATATTATCAATGTAACTAAAGACAATGCAGCACTTGATCCTTTTATTGATGTCACACAGATACATACAGGTCATATCCTAAAAAAGGGAAATGTACTATTAACATTCTATTACATCTATGTGATTATTACAGATGTAATTCATATTTCAGAGTAGTAATTGTAAATCACTTCGTGTAATCAAGATGTGAGACCACGGCTATAAAAGCGAAGGTGGATTTGGGAAGTCTGTCACAGCCATGTCCTGTCCGTTTACGCGAGCCACCCATTGAGGAAGGTGCAAGATTGATAAGGAGAGTTCTCAGAATTCAGCGTATATTGCGGGACAGACAGGATCCTTTAGCTCAGCGCGACAGTGTGCTCATTGAGAGATATCGATATTCCCGTGAGGATATTATTTACTTAACCAACTTGTTGACGAGGGGGTGCAGGACCTCCACCTGTCTTTTTTTGCTCTGCCCTTTTCTTGGTTGCTGTTATGAACAAACAAACAGATTATTTCAGGGTCTCTTTCCAAGAGACGAAAAGCAATATAAGTGATAAATATTACCATTCTATAGAATATTCTTATATTTCACTTTTACCTGTTCCCATGTTCTAGTGGGTCCTGTTGTGGCTCTAATGTGAAAGAGGATATAATATAACAATATAATATAATGTAATATAATATTGGATAATATAGTGTAATATAATAAATCTATGAATAAATAATAAAGTGACTGAATAGTGGCATTGTAAAGCGCTTTGGGTGCCTTGAAAAGCGCTATATAAATCCACTCCATTATTATTGTTATTATTAAATTACTTACGAGTTTAATTTGTCAGCAACTTTCTGCCAGCCCTCTCTCCTTGCTTTTGCAGCCTTTGCAGTGTTCTCTTGCATTTTAATTAAACTCTGAAACTCCTGACATCCCTCAATCAAGAGTTCTTGCTCTGCTGCCGGAAAATACCGAGCGCGCCCCTTCGACATTTTCGTCGACCAATCAGCGGGTTGCCGATCAATGTTTCTACTATCGATGCGTAGCCCCTTTTACGACACCCAGTGATGTCACATTACTTCATCCAGCTGTACTAATCGTCAACAGCAGGTGTGTTCGGGGAACCGGATTAGCGCGCTCACGGTTAGCGCGATGGTTTGGTCTTGGATGTTTCATTTGATCTTGGATGTAGTAAGCGACGTACGAAGCACAGGGCCCTGATCCAGCCCTAACTGTATGCTTTCTTAAAAGTAAAGAGGTTGTCTGTCTCCTCTAGCCAAATATTCTAGAAAACACCAGTAAATCTGCAGCCTGAAGACAAAGTGTTTTAATGGAGTGATATGGTACTATAAGCTCATTAAGATAAGAGGGAGCCTGATTATTCAAGAACTTGTGTGTGAAAAGCAGGATTTAACAGAACGCTAATGAAGAGACCCCGATATAGTAGAAATATGCTCTCTCTTTCTAGTTCCTTTCAGTACACTTGCTGCAGCACTTTGGATCAACTCAAAGCCTTACATGGAGTTTTAGGAAAACCCAGTAATATCAATTTACAGTAGTCCAAACTAGAAGTAATAAATGCATGAACTAGCTTTTCTAGAGAGGATATTGGTATTTTTGTGAGTTACTATGCAAATGTAAGAAAGCATTCCTATGTATTTGTTTAATATTGCCATAAATAATTTAATGGTTTGGATTTAATTCAGCCTTCATTTATTTATTTATTTATTTATTTATTTCACACTTGGTTCAACAGTTTCAACAGTTTTATCCTTTCATACACACAAACCATGCTTTCCCTTGATATAGCACTCCAACCATGCGTGAAAAGGAGCAGGAAGAAGAAAATATTCTTATTAAACCCCGCCCTCTATCTGCGATTCAACTAATATAAGTGGGCACCATAAACCAGGGAACACACTAGCATTTACCTCCAGATCCTAACACAGACCAAACAACACATTTACAATCAGCAATATACCACATCACATAACAAGGAGAAGAAAAAAAGTAAATAGAATAAAATAAGGAGAAAGAAAGAGGGAGAAAAAAAATCCCCTTCTTCTATGAACTCCAATTTCTTTCATATTCTTCATATTGATTTATCGTTTTAAACATGTAACACTTTTTAAAACAATGTAAATTTGTACAACTCTTTAGATTATAATGAAGAGAGTTCAGCACAGTCGTATACCCCTAACCATTGACTCATTAATCTTTGTGTAGTCCTAGCTAGCTGATGCTTAAAATTATATTTTCTTCTGCTGTCTACACACTTCCGGGGGGAGGGGGGAGGTCAAAAGGTCGTGATTAGGGTCATCAATCAAATCGAATCAAATTTTGTCATAAACCGTATGGGAGTATCTCTCTTACTCAATATGAGATTTCCAAGTTAAATTTTCATATACTATTACACCGAAAAAGCAAATTTCATTAACTCTTTCAATCAATTCTCCAATAGTAGACATAATAACTTATTCCTCCTTTACACCATTACCAAATATCACAAATTTTGTTTTTGTCAGATTCAAAGATAATTTATTTACATCAAACCATTTTTTAAATATTACCATCTCAGAAACCATAATTTTAACCAAATCTTTCAAATTCTCTCCTGAGCAATAAAAATTTGTATCATCTGCAATTAAAACGAAATGTAACCTTTTTGATACGTCACAGATATCATTGATATATAAATTAAAAAGTTTAGGTCCCAAAATAGAACCTTGAGGAACGCATTATACAATCTTCAATCTTTCAGAGGTGTTGCCTTAATATGGCCATTGAAAGTAAAGCTTGATTTAAACCTATGCAAGAAATCTACGCCCCGATTTACTTTGTAATTGGAAGCTCCTTTTAACCTTCCATGCCATTCAAGATGTTGAAGGCTGCATTGATATGATGTGTAGTTAGGCGTGGGAAGGTTACGGCCTAGGGTTAGAGCAGTTTCTGGTTACGACATTGTTTTCCTGGATAGGCTCTGTAATTTTTTACACATGTCTTCAGTGTCTGAAGTCTGAAGATGGTAAACTAAATGGATTTGTCTTTTTTTTTCTGTTTAATTGAAGGAGAATGGATGAATGGAATTAAGTTTTAGTTGTGTCCAGACATCCACTTTTCCAAGGCACAAACATAATGAGAGCACAGAAATGAATCTGGGTATCATTTACATATTTGATAGATGGCTTATCACTGCTAACTCCTAAAAGATGTCATGAAGAGACAGCATATGCAGATTAAATAGGACAGTCCCATGAATTGGTCATTGTGGGACTGCACACAGCATCATGGTGTTTTGCATTTCATAAAGGGGTGCTGCTATCCCTTAGTGTTTGTCAGTGTTGCCAACTTAGCAACTTTGTCACTATACTATACTATACAAGTCTGTTCTGCAGTTTCACATTCAGTTGTTTTGAAGGTTTGTTGTTAACCTTCCTATTCACGGTTGTCCAGTCCTGTTTCCTCTCGTATACAGGGGTAGAAGAGCTTCTCTGTCTCATAGGAAGTGAAGGCCAGTCGGTTTCAGAGATTTCAGCTCGCTGTGCTCTCCTTCCAGGAGACATGATTTATGTCTTGGTTTTGCACCAAGACAGTCCAAGGGGGGATTATCACTTGAGGATTTATAATAATGCACAGAGTCTACTTTCTATGTCATGTTATCTGTGCTCCTTAGCTGTGTACTAGCTTGCTCATCGCCATTGTTTTGAATCAAAGGCAAGGTTGTTTCATTTCCACACAGTCCATTTACCTCCACGTTTACTTCTAAGCGATGATTTTTTGTTTCCAGTACTGCAATCTTCTGCAGGAGGCTGTGGTAGTTATCTGTGGAGAGGGAAGGCATCTTGTTGCTAGTTAGCCTAGCGGTTAGCACCTTTCCAGGCTATTGAGGCTGCTCGGTGCCCAGACGCTGTAATCAGGCTTCAGCTGTGTCTAGGCCTCAGACACAGAGCGCTGAGGATAAGGTAACTATAAAATGTTGCTGTTTCTGTTAAGAACACTTTAGTCCTAATGATCTATAAGTGTCCAGAAGCTATCGCAGGTAAGCTCATACAGAAAAAAGGGAAAAAAATCAGCATAAAAATCAATAAAAGAAGCAAAGCATTTAAAGAGCAAAGAGATGAAGCGTCCACACTCACAAAAGGGGGAGGAGTTGCCAGCCTTGTTCCTGGGAGATAAAGTGAATTTTGTAATCTGTCTAATAGGACATTACAATTTTCACTGTAGAAAAACTACTCAAGTTGTTATTTGTTTCTGATTGGTTCATTGGTTTACTTTTCCCCCCCAAATGAGTGAGACACTGAAATGCTAAGAAACTCCTGCTTACTTATACTGGATTAAGAAAAAAGCCACATTAAAACGATAACACTCAGTAACAAAGCTTTGACACTGCGAGCACAAAGAAATGTTTCTGAAGCAGCACAAATGTGTAACACTTAAACTGAGAAATCCACTTTCATTTACCAAAAAACACACCAACATCACTACATTTCACACATTTATAGACATCCACACATTTAACTGATCTTTATTAATAAGAAATAAGTCATTTGCATCAGTGCCCAAATAATTTGTCACTTTGTACTCTTTAAATTTCACTGTTACATGGTCACTACATAGAGAGCTGCTAATGATTCAGATCAGAATACATTTTCTCAAATGTTTGTTATTAGTTAATTTATTCCCTATTTCTTTTCAGACCTTCACCAGCAGAGTGTCCATGATGAGGAGATGGTCACCAGAGAGAAGCAGGTCTGTAATAAAGAAAGGAACTCCAGTCTGGACCAGGAGGACCCAGAGCCTCCACAGATTAAAGAGGAACAGGAGGAAGTGTGCAGCAGTCAGGAGGGAGAGCAGCTTGGACTGAAGCAGGAGACTGATACTTTCATAGAGACTCCGACTTATGGGGAAAGTGACTACAGTGAACCAGAACCAAACAGTGAGCAGTTCATTTCTCACATCTCTCCTGAAGCAGAGAGCCGAGATCATGACGAAAGCCAGCGTGTGGACTCAGGATCAGCTAGAAATGCAGAGCTGAAAAAGAATAGATATGACAGAAAGAGAAGTCACAGTCAGAGAGTAAACAACACTTCTGTGTCAGAGAGTCAGAGTAAACCTCAGAACAGGCATAAGCATCTGATATGTGACATATGTGGAAAGCTTTGTCAAAAGAAATCCAAATTGATTAACCATCGGAGAAGTCACACAGGTGAGAGACCGTATTCCTGTAACACCTGTGGGAAAAGATTCTTACAGAAATCACATTTGAGTAATCATGTAAAAATTCACTCAGATGAGAAGCCACATCTTTGCAGGACCTGTGGAAAAAGATTCAAACTAAACTCTGTATTGCAACGTCATGTAAGAATTCACACAGGTGAGAAACCGTATTCCTGTAGCAGCTGTGGGAAAAGATATAGGCGGCTTGACCATGTAAAGATTCACATGAAAATTCATGCTGTTTAAAGTGTCTTCCTCAGAAAATGTGTTGTGATTCGTCATACTTCTTTTTGACAGATGGAGGTTCTGCTGGGTTTTTTTTGTTTTGTTTTTGTTTTTTTGTTATGCACTGAAACTGAAAACTCAGAATTGCTGATGTCAAAATTAATCAGCTCTTGAATATGCTTCCCAGAATAGGGCAGTTTATTACCTCATTATTATATAGTCAGGGAAAAAAACCTTTTGAACCTCTGCTGAAATCTTTAGTCTGCCCACTAACAAAGGAATTATCAGTCTATAAATTTAATGGTAGGTTTATTTGAACAGTGATAGAACAACAACACCGAAAAATGCAAAAAAAAGTTATAGATCAATTTGCACGTTATTTAATGAAATAAATATTTGGTCCCTTTGCAAAACTTTTGAAACCTTTGCTTGGTGGCAAAACCTTTGTTTTCAATCACAGAGGTCTGATGTGTCTTGTAGTTGTCTACGAGTTTTGCACATATCTCAGTGGGGATTTTGTCTCACTCCTCGTTGCAGATCCTCTGAGTAATTAATGTTTCATGGCATCTCGAACCTTCAGCTCCTTCCACAGATTTTTCTATGGGATTAAGGTCGCTGAGCCAATCCTTTGTAGCCTTGACCATGTGTTTTGGATCACTGTCATGCTGGAATACCCACTAACGACCCATTCTCAATGCCCTGGCTGAGAGGAGGTGGTTCTCAACCAAGATTTGACAGTACATGGCCCCTTCCATCCTCTCTTCAATGCGGTGCAGTTGTCCTGTCCCGCTGGCAGAAAAACATCCCCAAAGCACAATGTTTCCACCTCAATGTTTAACATTGGGGACGGTGTTCTTGGAGTCATAGGCCATATAGTTTTAGGCCGTATGTTATAAGTATGTTGTTTTATGTTTTTATTGCCTGTTTCTATTGTAAAGGACTTTGTAGTTTTTCACCTGCGAAAGGTAATGTATAAATAAAGTTTGTTTACTTACCTTGTTTCTGATGTTGTTTTATATACTGTAAATGCAGAAATTGATGTTTTGACCCTTTTGGATAAACATGCCCCATTCCATATCATTGTTCTAGTTTACCTTTCTTCTTTTTTGTTTGGAAAACAAACATGGCCCTATAGAGAATGATACTAGGATTCACTGATCAGAATATGGTCTTCCAGTAGAAATGACTACATAGACACACTAACACTTACAAAGTCTCAAAGTATATATTTCAGTTTCAATTTTATTTCTATAGCACATTTAACATCAAATTGCTTCACACAATTGCTGTGTTGCAGGATTACAACAATAGAAGAACAAAGAAAATACAGTTATCATTACAAAATTGTTAGAGGTAAGTGGCGGGCACAAGCGTGAACTGGGTGGAAGTTAAAGTCTAATTTGTTTCGACGCACAGACATAGATCAGCAGGCTATTCCAAAGTTTAGCTGCAGCAACAGCACAATCCTCCCTAGTCTTCTGTCGGGACATTGGTTGCTGTAAGAGCGATTGATTAGAGGATCTAAGTGCTCTCTTAGGGGTATATAGGTCAAGGAGGTCAATCAAGTAGCTGGGCGCCAAGTTATTTAAAATTTTAAAAGTGTACAAAAGGATTTTAAAAACGATACGTTATTTGACGGGGAGCCATTGAAGGTTGGCTAAGACAGGTGTAATATGATAATGTCTTCTGGTGCCGCTTAACAGATGTGCTGCGGCATTCTGGACTAGTTGCAGGCGTAGGATGAGGGAAAGTTGGAGGCCTAGATGAAGACAATGTTCAGATTTTCACTGGGAGTGAGCGAGTACATCAGAGAGAGAGAGAGAGTGAGTAACGTCTTAAATGATTAGACTAATTTCCAAAGAATCAGTGATACCTCATTTTGAAAATAAAGCCTCATCCCTTCATCATTGTGCCAAAGTTCAGAAGTTTTTACTGCACAGTTGTTGAGGACGAAAGAAGAGGAGGAGGACAAAAAGTAGAAATGTGACAAAGAAGCTGACTTTGCTGCTCGGCCTGTTAAGTATAGAAGGATACGGGATACTACTGCATCACGGTATGGTACGGCAGCTGCACCAAAGCAGATAGAGTGAGGCTTCAGAGTGTGGTCAAGACAGCACAAAAGATCATCGGCTGCCCTCTCCCGTCCCTGATGGACATCTATTCCTCCCGCTGCCTCACCAGAGCAGCAAACATTAGCAAGGACAGCTTCAACATGTTCAGCCTGCTTCCCTCAGGGAAGCGCTACAGGTGCATCA